ATCTTGTCTCCATTTCTCTTGCCGCTTGCCTCATCCACGGCCCCACTCCCCAATCCAGGTACTTCGTGGCAGCTTCTGCGGGTCGGAACCGAGTCACGCTGCAGAGTGGCGCCCAACGTGGGGCCTGGATACTGGGGACAATGTGAGGGACATGAAGGAGGAAAAAGGGGTGCGCACCCACTCAAATAATCCGGGGACACCGTGGGAGCCTGCCGCAACCGAGCTGAAGGAAAGTTGGTCATTCAATCATGGGGCAAGAATTAAGTCAGCATCAGATTTATGTGATAGAGTTAAGAGAAGCTCTACAGGCAAGAGGAGTAAAGGTTAAAACTGAGGATTTATTTCATTTCTTTGATTTTGTAAAGGACCTTTGTCCCTGGTTTCCCCAAGAGGGGGTCATAGGGTTTCCTCAAGAAGGGGTCATAGATATAAAGAGATGTAGAAGAGTAGGAGGTGCATTACAAGATTTTTATACAGTGTTTGGGCCTGGAAAGGTCCCAGTTACTGCTTTTTCTTATTGGAATCTAATAAAAGAATTAATAGATAGGAGAGATGAACATGAACCAGTAGTGGCAGCGATTGCCCGGGCTGAAGAGATTTTTAGAAATAGTTCTAAGTCAGAGTTGAGGGAAATTCCCAAGGATGAGCCTGACTTAATTTCCCTTGAAGATGAGGATTCTCCTAAAAATTTAAGGAAGGAGTCTTTAGAGTCAGTTAAAGGAAAGGAAAATCAAGAGGATGCCCAAAAGTTTAAAAAATAACATATTCGTATTTATCCTTTTACCAGAAGCTGTCTGCCTAACCTCGGATGCAGATGGTGCAGAGTCTGAGAGGGGTTGATTTGCAAAACTGAGACTAGATCATTAACTGGCCACGAGGGGCAAGAATGTGACCGCCCTCCTTCCTATAGTGTACCACCTGCTCCAACTATCATGGCAGCAATAGATCCTAGATCAGAATCGAGGGAACAAATAGAACAGTTGCAGGAACAAATTAAGTTGGAGGAAATACATCAGTCGCTGATACTCAAACAAATTAAGCTAGAAGAGATGCATCAGTCACTGATACTTAAATTACAAAAGCTTAGAACAGGTAGAGGTAGCAAGGCTGTTGTAGATAGAAAGAGCTCGCTCAGCCCCCAGGGGGCCTGGCCTTCACTCATATAAGGATAATTTTAATGAACCTGATAGACTTCCCTCCCGTAACGGAAACAGTAGATGATCGGAGGCAGGCATGGCGACATCATACAGTACTTGAATTTCCACTAATCAAAGAATTGAAGACTGCCGTGTCGCAGTATGGAGCTACAGCTCCATATACCTTGGCTATCTTAGAAGGTGAGGCTGAAAAATGGCTAACTCCTATTGATTAGAATACATTGGTAAAAGCAGTCCTTAGTGGAGGTGATTATTTATTATGGAAATCAGAGTATTTTGACAACTGTAAGGAGACAGCTAGAAGGAATCAACAAACCGGAAATGGATGGGATTTCGATATGTTAGCAGGCGCAGGTCAGTATGGGACTAATGAATGACAGATGCAATATGATGCGGGTCTTTTTGCGCAAATTCGAGTTGCTATCACTAAGGCATGGAGAAAACTTCCAGTTAAAGGGGACCTGGGTACTTCTCTCACTTCAGTCAAGCAGGGGTCTGATGAGCCATTTGCAGATTTTGTTCATCGGTTAATGACCACTGCAGGGAGAATATATGGAAATGTTGATGCAGGGCTAGAGTATGTGAAACAGTTGGCGTATGAAAATGCTAATCCTGCCTGCCAGGCAGCCATTAGACCCTACAGGAAAAAGATGGATTTGACTGGCTATATTCGTCTGTGTTCAGACATAGGTCCGTCTTATCAACAGGGGCTTGCCATGGCAGCGGCTTTTAATGGACAAACTGTAAAGGATTTTCTCGCTGATAGGTATAAGGCTAAGAGCAAGGGGTGTTTTAAATGTGGTAAGAGTGGGCACTTTGCCCAGGAATGCAAGGCAGATGATGATCAGCAAAAGGCTGATGATAAAAAGGCTCCTAGATTATGTCCCAGGTGTAAAAAGGGAAGACATTGGCTCAGAGATTGTAGGTCTAAGATGGATATTGAAGGGAGACCTTTATCTCCTCGTCAGGGAAACTGGTGGAGGGGCCAGCCCCAGGCCCTGAAACAAGCTTTTGGGGCAGTCAATTTCGTTCCTGCCAGCAGCAGCAATCCATTTCAACCGAGCAACCCCAGGAAGCGCAGGACTGGACCTCAGTTCCTCCTCCCACGCAGTATTGACTCCAGACATGGGAATTCAGACCATAGGGACTGGAATTTATGGACCACTCCCCTCCGATACCTGTGGGCTGATATTAGGGCATGGTAGCACCGCCCTTAAAGGCCTATCTATTGTGCCTGGGATAATCGATGCAGACTATACTGGGGAAATAAAAATTTTAGCCCGTGCTACAGACAATATAGTCACCATTCCACAAGGGGAACATGTTGCTCAGATAATTCTAATACCCCTGGTTAACTCCAATCATTTCGTTCAGGGAAAAAGTAGAGGAAATAAAAACATCGGTTCATCCGATGCTTATTGGGTCCAAGCCATTACTCACAAAAAACCTACGTTGACCTTATGGCTTGATGGAAAGAAATTCGATGGCCTCATCGATACTGGAGCTGATGTTACTATTATTTCTGCTGAGGCCTGGCCTGTGGCCTGCCCACAGTTGAGACTTTGACTAATTTAAAAGGTATAGTGCAGAGCCATAACCCAAAACAGAGTTCAAAATTTCTTACTTCGAAAGATTCTATGAATAATTCTGGTTTGATTAAGCCTTTTGTGGTTCCTTATTCACCAGTAAACTTATGGGGAAGAGATTTGCTTTCACAAATGGGAATTGTGATGTGTAGTCCAAACTATGTTGTTACTGCACAAATGCTTGCTCAGGGCTATAACCCTGGCAGGGGATTAGGAAAAAGAGAGGATGGAGGATTATTTCTAATACCAATCCAAGG